TATAAGAATCTATCACATAAAATACTTGAATATATTCAAGTATGTATGTAAGAATACTTTATTTTGAATTATACTATTTATTGTGTTTCTTATTACATCCATTCTTACCTCAATATAATAATGTATTGTTGAAAGTTATGTTATTGCTTACTTTCTTCTTCTTTTTGGTACTTATGCAATGTTGTTTCTTATGTGGTTCTTCTACATAATTCGTCCCTCAATCTTCAATTGGAAATGCTAAGCTCTCTCCCTTTATACCATAAATTATTTGCAATTCTTACTATAACATTGTCCTTTCAATTACTAGCTCTCCTATATTAAGTCACACTTAGGATTCCAAGATGTTAGAACTAGAGATGCAACTGCCTTAAGAAAGAAAGTTAATAGAGTTAAACAAGGCATTACCAACTTTCTACCAAGTTAAGGAGAGACTAGACAATTGTGGCATTGCTAAGAATTGGTATGTGGAGATCTCTTGTGGAGGCAAATATGTCTTCTTAGATGATGATACCCAGCTTAAAACTTGTAAGAAGCTCACGGTACTTGCTGCTCCTATTTTGGAAAAGACAATGCTTGGCTTCAAGACCTCTTCTACTATTGGAACATGTTCATTGTAATTGAAGAATATCCAACATACTAATCAGTTTTTAGAAGATCTTTCATGCTTCTTATCTACATTTCTTTTTAAGAATTGCAAATTTGCAATTCTCCCAATTATCACCTGTGGGTCATCCTTGTTTTTTGAACATGTAATCCAATTCAAATTTCTCTTACTTGTAAAGCAATAGTCTAAACTTAGTACTTTTATCAAAATAACAAAATTTGTTCTGTTGTTGCACAGGCCAACTACGTGCTCCAAGTCTTCTTGAAGGTGATTGCTTTGGTGAAGATAAGAGGCTGAATTAGATTTTAGAAGCGGTTACCTCATGGTGAGCACTGCTCCGCTGGCATACGAGGACCATGGTTTACACAACCCTAATGAATGGGACTTCCGCCAAAGGCTCCTCGAGCTGCCCCTGTTCCGTGCTGCTCCCACAGGTCGCTCTAGTCGTTGCTTCTCTCAAATTCCGACGATCGTCATGAAGATTAGGACGATTGAATTCTGTCCTCTACACCTCCCAACACCCCATGTCGTAGAACACTCGCCAATCAGTATCCATCGTTCACAACAAGCCCGCTTGGGCACGTGGGTTCAGTCTCCCACCTTCTCAGTGGTTCTTATGCTAGACGTAAGGTTCTAGACAGGCAGAACGGAAGAGATTCTATGCCAACTTCCTTCAGAAAAGTGCTTCACACGTGATCATTTAGAATTCTTCATGTCAGTCATCTGTTTTCGTGTGGAAATCCCTCGAAATCTTCTCTATGATCCTGAGTTGTCTGCAAATGCGAAGAAGTCAATATCACTATTTGAAGAGGTCCTAGACCACGTGGTCAAACGGTAATTCAAGGCATTTCGTCACAGTGGAAAGTGGAATCAACTCTTGAAACGAGAATCTCAAAGGGAGCACCTTCTCTTGTAGACCACAGTCAATTCAACAAGAGAGACTCTGACTAGAGTAGGAGCGGCAAAAGTATGTGCGAGTAGAATTTATGACGTCAAGATGAAAAAAACTCACGCATGCAAAAACCCTTTGGTCAGGACAGGAGTTGAAACGTTCACAATCGACTTCGTCACTAGTTTTGGCGAGACTTGTGGAGCAAAAGACATACCAAAATCCAATGTTGGAAAAAACATGCTGTTAGTGACAATATCAATTCTAATCTTGTGGACTTGGTGGGTCAAATTTCAACCCCTTCTGGCTTTGGCTCCTCATTCTCATTGACAAACTCGCCCTCAAAAATCACGATTTTCAATATTGTGAGTGGGCATGTTTTTGTAGAATATTGATGCCCAAGGTCCTATCGTGATTATCGAAACGACATTTAATATGAAAGAATGTAGACGTTTGTTTTTTCGAAGCAGACCCTCAACACCTTCGGCGCCTGTTCGGATGCCTGCATCGCTCATGATTCTGTCATCTAAAGCTTTTTCAATCACACAAAGTGGCTGCAGTGGCAATTGGAAATGAACACCGATAATTTTCTGGAGTCTGTCACAACTGTTCTTTTTTCATGTTTCCTACCATCGGATGTGCTTTAAAAGCAATCTGCAGGTGAGGCATGGCAACGCTTTGCCAACTTTGGAGAATGTTGCCCAATTAATCCCAGGAAGCCCGAAAACCTAATGGTAAAAGGTTCGTATAATGTCTCCGTTTATTGTTAAAAATACAAGAGGAAATAAATTCAGATCCACGTGCCACATTTTGAGTATGCCAAGTCTTCAAGCGCAACAGGAAGGTTGGTTAAACATGACCTAGGTTTTCGGTGAAAGTGGAATGTGCTGTTGAAAGGTGATGCAGCATGAAAACATTTTACCATTCAGCGTGCGAAGTGGCGAACCTTACCTCCAGCTACCTTATACATTTGAAACTTGTTTCTCTGGATCCATCAATTCATACATTACATGGATGCCAGAATCCAAATTCTGAAATACTGCCCGCAGCATCCAGCAGAGAATCGCGGTACCGACACAAAGAAAGAAACATACAGGAGGTCGAACCCCGTGGAAATAAGGTAGCGGATGGACGCTTGTTCGAAGTATGCCAAGTCTTCAGGCGCAAGATTCTACAGAAAACGAGAAGAAATGGATACAGCCCTGTTGAGTTTACCGCGATTCCACACTTCCAATCATTGGCAGAGTCCTGCGACAGTTTGCATAATATCATTCGAATTTAAGGCAGGTACCTAGGGCATCCATTCACCACTTTCCAACAAATCCCTCCCATCACAGTTGACACAAAGGGGTATCGCATTCGCATTGATGCATTTCACGTCTGTAGCATTCTAAACCCTATGCAACCGTCAGGAATTTCACCAATGCGTGAAGCTCACGACGTATAGCTTGTGAGCAAGTGTTGTTCGAAATGTATCTTGAGCATGTTGGCGGACCACAGGGACGGTAGCGATTGAAACCCTCCCCACGTATCTGGCTAGGCTTTTTAAACATCGAAAAGACCCATCTCGCTCGCTCGCTCCATCTGTAGAGGTGATGATCACATAAGCATCTTTACGAAGACTTCGACAGAGTTGTCAAACGGTGGATAGCGGACAGGAGGTCCCCATCGAAGACGGTGGTGGCCCACTCCACAGCAAGGATCCCTACGTGCCATCTCTGTGGTTCCTGCGACGTCATTGAGGATGCCAAGAATCTACAAGTACAAGCATGTCTAAGTTTCCTTGCGCTGGGTGCACAATTTTCCACCTCAGGAATAGTGTAAAGCGGGAAAAGCAACAACGGATCCGCCCGTCATCGTGTCACCGGAACGAAATCGTCCCTGAGAAGTGTGAGGCCTAAACATCCAGCCAAGCAAGTGCTAAAACGAGCGCCTGCAAACAACTCCGGTTCATCGAGGCCAAACGCCGGGAGACATCTCATAACAATACATATTACCTGACAAAGGCAAACACACGAGCAAAGGTAGACCTCTCATCTCTCCGAAAGCAGCTATCAAAAGATTTCCAAAATAAGACATCGAGAAACACAGAAACAAGTAAGTTTAGGTAATGCAAACGCGTTTTCCTTTTACTCCGTTACTCCTTCAGGATGATCTGTTGCGCAAAATTTCAGAACGAGCGTGAAAATTCAGTTGTGAATTCAGATTCTTTAACATCGGGTGAACTGTGTTGGTCTACACGGATTCCGACATTGGACGACAGCTGGTTCAGTACAAGCTTCCTCCTGCCAGATTTGAGCTTTACGAGCAGATGTAGAACTTTTCTATTCTTGGGTTGAATTGAGACCATTGTCATTTTGACTTCATGTGAATGACAGCGGACAGGTGCTTCCGTGTGTCAGTGAAGAAGTGATTGCTGAATGTTTCAGCTCTTGGTTAGAGTTTCGGAGTAGTCGACCAGGGGAGGTACTACAAATTGCTCTGGAAACGTTACAAATTAATCAAAAAAAATTCAATCAGTCAACCGAAACTGAAAATTACATCATTTTTGTTGACATATGTTACGGTGCAATTGAAGAGTGCCGACAGTTCGATTCCAGTTGTTTATGAAAGCGGGTTTTCTGCTACGATGGAATTGTTCATGGAAATCATCGTCTCTGAAATGAAGACAACAGAATGTGCTGGTAATTCATTGATGTGTTTCTGGTGGGCTCATCTCTTAACTCTAAAACCAATTGATTCAAGCGGATGAAGCACCCGGATTAGAAATAGGTCGCCGATGAGGTGTAAACTGAGCTAATACATTTACCTTCCACTCAGTTGCCTTGTATAAACATCAGCAACCTTTGCCGGTTGTCACTGTTCGATCAGATCACAGAATTAGCCAACTATCATGTTCAACTTGAGTAAAATCAGGAACGTTAGCTTCGAGGGCAACAGTGTAGACTTCTCCAACAAGATGATTATGTTCCTCGCACTTCCATTCCATCGTAACGCGCAACAAATCAACCACCTTCGTCGATGGAGATCTCAACTAACCAACTCTGCAAGTTCGCTGCAGGTCACTCAAACATCTTCCAGATCTGTTTTACGAACACTCTCTCTCTAAAGACTTCCAGGAATTACTAGTCGATAGAGACACAAAAGTGTTTGACAGAAGCGTCCGAAGAAAACGCCGCGGCTGGGGCCGGTCTCTAAATTCATCCCTGAGATGCATTTCCGAGTGAAGGCTACTAATCTAATTCCTGTGCGTAGGAATGTCATTTCGATTTTATGAAGTAACTTCTGGACAAGGCCACTGAACCATCCCAGTCAATGAGGGCCACCCAATTCTCCACAATCTCGAAAAGGTAACCAATGAGCAGTGACGCTCCACCTGCTCAAAGAAGCGAGAAATTATTCCGAGAAGCAGCCCTATTCCAATTATAGGTAGACCTATCAAAGAGGTCTCAAATGTTTGATTTGAAAATGGAGTGCATATAACCAGCGTTGGACCATAATTGAACAGCCCTTCAACGCTGCCTGTCACTGCGTTGTCAACCCGGCCGCCTCCTTTACCTCATCAAACCGCGTTCCATGGGTCTGCCGGTGGAGGTTACCGGGGACGTAATTACGATTTAGTGTTAAGTCAACAATAGTCTCGAATGACCTGATCGGGCCCAAAGCGCTGAAACGGAAACGTGCCCAGTAGAAACTCTACGGTCTATGATTTGATCAAAGTTCTACTCCGATCGATCAATAGATCCCGGGTTTTTGAAAAGCATTGGAACAGTGTTTTCTGGCTTGCGTATGTCTGCGCACTAAAGGATCCAATCCTATGGTTGCAGGTGCGTGCAGTAGTATATAGGCCTGCGATCTATACTGCTTCGAGGCTTCGGATGTGTTGGTACTAATTCAGTGATTCTTATCTGCGAGAATAATTTCCCCGCGCCTGCATGGTGATCGCGGAGAGTACTGAAAGTTAGCCTTGAGGTGTGATCCATTCTTTAGTTGGAGAATTTTCTCTGCGCACAGGTCGAAAAAGTTGCTGAAGTAGTTGTGAGTTTCTTGAGGTGGTGGTTGCAGGTCTCGCTGGAGCACTATTTTAGTGCAGAAGTATTGATTTGGGAATTAGACAGGAGGGGAGAAAGAAGGCGAAGTTCGGTTTTGGAACTCACTCTATGTTAGAATCGTAGAACTTGTGAGGAAGTCTTGTGCTTCATCGTGGTCACGAGCCAAGTTGCAGGAGTTGGGAATCTCTGAGGCTCAAGTTTCTGAGTGACTTGGTAGAGTTATTTGACATTGAATCGGCTTTTACAAGCGTTGTTTTTACAGCAGCTAAATTTTATGAGAGCTGGTTGAATCGAATAGAACCGTAGTCATGGGCACAGTTCTGCGAGTATGTGATCTTGACAATTCTCGTTTCAATTACCAACTTTCAATCGCTGTGAAAATGATAGTGCTAATATCGCTACTCTACCCCTCTCACGCACTTCGAAATCCGAGCTACCTCAATTTGGCGTCAATGCGCATAAACACCGCAGGATTGCAATTGAAGGAATCAGGCAGAGGCGCATCAGTGCTGGAATCATACTGCCGGGTAGATCTAGAAGCGGTGCGAAGAATCTTGGAACAATCTAGCAAAGCAGTTATCGACGATCCCGACAACGCGCGTCGAAATCTCGTTAGAGTGGGGGGTCTCCTGGAGTCGTGCAGCCTGAACATGATCACTACTCAAAATTCGCAGGCTTACGAATTACTCACCAAGGTTAAACAGAGCGTAGCTTCGGCTGAAAATTTGATCGATCAGAGCGATGTTACAGAGATGGCACTTCCCTCACTGGAAATGGGCAACGACGAGGGAAGCGAGCTGCAAGAACCTATTTTCCAAGTGGAGGGCAATGACTCGGTGAACGAGAACTCGGGGTCAATGTTGATCTCTGGGGAGGAGGATAATCGACAGAACAATCGTGATCTACTAGTCCCAGTCCCGCCTATAATCGGCATATCCATGGACGATTTAGTGGTCGATTTCTGCCCGGATCACGTAGACCTCACCAAATATGCCGCGACCATCCGTTTTGATCGAGCGTGCGGGGGAAAGTTTCACACACGTGCCAAGTATTCCTCTGGCGTCTTCTCCATTCGAATGCGAGCCCCTGCTGGCGCGCCCGGTGTGAGCAATAGCTTCTACATCTCCTCGAACGACGGAGCGCCTGACATGATCAGCTTCGATTTCGTAGGCAATCAGCCTCACCGCGTTCTGACGGCTTACGCCGTAAACGGCGACCATGATCAAAAACTCAAAACCTTTCATATGTCCTTTGATACCACGCAAGAGTTTCACGAATACTCCATCAAGTGGGACGCTGAAACTATCGTGTGGATGGTCGACAGCATTGTGATCCGCACATTGCGTGCTTCGCGAGTTAAAGCTTTTCCTGTGAAGCCTGGGCATGTCTTTGGATACTCCTGGGACGCCTCCTCGGTCGCTGATGGCACCTTGGCCGGGCGCGTCAACTGGTACAATGCGCCGTTCTTCATGAGCTTCGAAAATTTCCAAGTGGCATCGCCACTGCGAGTGGGACAATGGCGTCCGCCGCAGCAGAGTCTAGTCAGACGAAACGGTCCCCACCCCGTTCGCCCCCTCGTGATCGACTACTGCCCTCACAACGTCGCTGCTGCGAATGCCCACAACTACGACATCACCTTCGACAAATTCGGATGCGGAAGCCGCGTTCGGAGCCTACACACTTATCCCTCGGGGAAATTCAGTGCCACTATCAAGTGCGCGGACGGCGACACGAGCGGCCTGCTCACGAGCTTCTACATCTCCTCCGGCGAAGGGAGTACGATGCAGGACGAAATCGACTTTGAGTTTCTTGGGGACAACAAGCGCATTGTGCAGACGAATTTTTACGTGAACGGTACGTCGAGCGGGAACGAGCTCTGGGTAGAGCTTGACTACGACTGCTCTTATGGTTTCCATACCTACTCCATTCACTACAACCAGAGCAAGATCCAGTGGTTTATCGACTCGCGACTGGTGAGAACTGTGACGAAAGAGAAGCAAATTCGGCATCAAAGGTCTTACCCCACCAAAAATGTCTTCCTGTATTCCTCCGTTTGGAACGCCTCTGACGTGAACGATGGCGGGTGGACGGGCAAGTGGCACGGCATGGCTGAGGAGCCCTTCGTGGCCAAATTCAAATCCGTCACCGTTCAATATCCCGCGTGAATTCTTCACACTACCGCCCACTGAAGCGTTTCTAGATTATGATCACGAATGTAAACTAGGATGCACGCAGCTCGATGCTGTGGTTGAATCCATAAAATTTTGATACCAGTTGAAATGTGGATTAAGATTGAACTGCCGGGAGGTATGTACACGGCAGGAATGACCATCTTCTCGATCGCTTGGAGTTCTGAAAGAGAATACTGTCGCTGCTGTTGTGTGATAGATTTTTAGGCTTCACATTGCAGTCTAGCGGTGAATCGACTGTGCAGGGAGCTTTCGGTAGAATAAAATTGTATATTGTACGTACAGATTCTTCATCAAACTTTTAGTGGAAGCAATTTATGTTTTTATTTTCCGCATAGATTGCCCTACTGTGTATACTCAGATTGGCATGAAAGGTTTCTCGACCTTCGCCCAACTCTCGAGCATTTGTTCGTTGTAAGCATCAAGGCTTTGTTGCAGCAATTTTCTGCACATATATTATTTGAATGTCAATCGAAACGAACCTCAACTTCAAATGCAAGTACTTCGCAATTCAACGTGGAGAATCCTATGTTGAATCTTAAATTCAATTTCCACGCATTACTTTCCGTCCAGCTTATTTTCACCGCAAACTTCGGAGGCTACACAAGGTCACGCTGTAGGCAAACATGATTTCCGAGGCAAACATGGAATTCGCAACAGCATGGAGATGTTTCTAACAGAAGAAAAACGTGCAGTAGCAACTGGATCACTGTAACTAAATCTTAAACACATCCTGCAGAGAATGAACAATTTCAAGTACAGGACAATCAAGTACCAGCAATAGCGGTTTTCGAGGCACTCTTCCGAAGTGCAGCGGCGGAATACCATGGGTACTTAACTTTTCAGCGGAATTCTGTGCTGCGAACCAAATACAGAATTTTCCCGAGGAAGATTCGGCACCTGTCAACAAAAGTGGCTCAACTCTTCCCTCACATTCCCATGCACGCAGAGTTCCACAGCTTTCAACGACAGCCAAGCCAAACCCTGAGCTAGAGATAACCTCACAAGGTAGTCCACTTCCCCACAATTGCAGTAGACTTGCCGGGTCCACAATGATCAAACACTTTCTCCGATCAATCCACTCTTGCCCTCTCCAATAATCAATAAAACAGTCGGCAACCTGCCGGGTCCCATCTTTCCAACACCACAGAAAACGAAGCTGTGGAGCGATGGGCGATCTACCGAGCATCACTCACCTCTGCCGTGCAAAAAGATTCATATCGTTGCTTTGACCCGCTCTGGCCATTTTGCGCTGGAAACTGCCACTTCCCCTTCCTGAGCATGAGAGTAACGAACCCACGGCATGTGCGCAGACAACTCGTGCTTCGACCCCACGTCAGGCATTCTAGAATTTGGAGTTGGACAACAGCAATACGTAACCTAATTCCTTAGACCAAGCGCTCAACTCAGAACCCTGACGAGTGTAGAATAATACATGTACAGCATCTGATTGTTATAATAAATTTCTGTGAAATTGTTAGTGTAATTGTGTTAGTATTAGCATGTGAAGATAAATAAACTGATAAATTAAGCGTTACACCTGGGCGTCAACATAAAGTCGCACCTCTAGGTTCTCCAACTAGATATCTCTCTCCCTGAAGCTTTTACTTAGTTTCTCACATGTAATGGATATTCTAATACATATATACATAGATGAATCTTCACACTTATTACGTGTGTGTGTGTGAATAGTTATTGTCATAACATGTTATCAGAGAGAGTACGTTATCATGTACTTCGTTAGCACAACAGAAGCTTCTTCCTTTCCAATTGAGATCGAAGCTCCATCCGCACCTGTCTTTGCTGACATTATATTTGCACCTGTGACAATTTCATATAAAATCCACAATACTCCCACGGCCATGCTCAATCTCCTTGAGCAGATCACCCCATTGTGAGTCGACACTACAAAGGAATGAATACTTTAAACTTGTGAATACTTTACCTCTGATTATTTTTGTGAAACTTTTCACAAAAATAAATTTTGATTCATGGCTACTAGCTCAACTACACAAGTAATGTTATAAATTAATGCATGTGTGTTTATTTTCATATTTTTTTAAATCCTTAATTTTAAATATTTAGTATTTAGTTGTCTGTCTAATTAAATTGGTTTTATAAATACTACCTCATTTACTTGTTAAAATTTTGTTTTAACACATATCTAAATGGTTGCTAAATAGTATTTGGAAAAAGAATAATTTTGCTTAACCTTGGTTATTTCTCAAATTTTGTTACAAGATTGAATTTTTTTTGTACCAATATATAAATCAAATTCTTTTTAGTACACAATTGTATATTTCTTTAATTTTTTAAATAACTTTGAGAATTTAAATATTCTACTAAAATTATAATAAAATAAATTAAAATTTTGGACTAAATGCCTACTATTGAGAATTTATTATATTTATATATACAAATACACGGTTATATAATTGAGGTTATTCCTCCTTACATTCATCTTTTTGTTTAATTTTAGCTTTTTATTCTCTTATCAATTTCTTTGTCCAAATTTATTGTTTTAATCAAGTTAATTCAACTAAACAAGTTCTAATTACATAATGCTTTATTCAATTGAGTAAATCTTTGTGTTGAAAATTTAATAAGATAGTGTTTTTAAAATATTTTTTTGCAAATACAATGCATCTTTTATTATTAAGCATAATTGGTTTTTCATCCAATTTTACAAGTCTAATATCATTTTAAAAACTTCTATGGCTAAACCACTCCCAATACACATTAATTTCTGACCATATTCTTTGTATCCATAGTAGAATATGTAAATATAGGTTACTTTTTACTATCATATAAAAACTTTCTACCTCAAAAGAAATAAATATATACTTTTTGGTAGATCTGCGAATATTTACATGATTATTTTAATAGCCTTCAATCTTAACATTTTTAATTCAAAGTCACAATTGTATCTTTTAAATATTATATGATTTTATTTTATTTTTCTATTAAAAAGATTGATATTAAACATGTATTAAATTGCAGCACATTAAAATTTTCAAGATTAATTTATTTTTACTGTTAATAGATATAATAATTTTCATCATAAAAAATTATTTAATTATAACTTCAATTAATGCAAGATCTTTATTAGAAACTTTATTAGTTTTGGATTTGCTACAAAAAGAGTTATAACAAGTTCTTATTCTTTTGTATTGAATCATTTTAGAGTTTATTTAATATACTTTGTGTTGACTTATTATGAGAGTAGATTTGGCTTTACCTTTCATAATTTCAATCCAAGACAACAATGTAATTTTTAAAAGTTACTCATCTTATACTTCTATTATAATTTTTCATCTATCTACTTTAGTTTATCTATATTACTTGTAAAAGTGATAAATCATCTATATAGAGAATAATAAAAATATATATTTTTTTTGAATATATCAAGATTTATGCACAATACTTTAATTTTTATTGACATGTTTCTCCTTTATCAGTATTTTGAATTGTTGAAGTGCTTTTAAATAACAAAGAAATATTTTTTATTAAATTAAATTAAAAAATATACTTAAAACTATTTCTTTTAAAAAATACATTAATATTCTTTGACTTAGTTTATTACCAATCTAGCCAAAAAATACTGTAGCAACTTCCTTAGTTGGTAGTAATTTATGTTGTTCTACAACAAATATATCTTATAGAAATATTTAGGTGTTGAAAAATCTAAATTATTTATTATTAATTAATTATTAATATCCTTTTTTATAATTATTTAGTCTTCGAATTATTAATTAAAAATTGATTGAGATATTTAAAAATCCGTTAAAATATGAATGCTATATTAAACCAAAATATATTTATATCTATATTTTATTTTTATAAAACCATTAGAAATTATAGACACATGTATTTTTAGAAGTTTTATGCATCTCAAAATTTTCAAAAAAATACAATATATATAAATTTTTAGAAGATATTAGTATTTTTAAATTATTTTAAATTATAAATTAAAAAAAATATCTATGATACCACTAGATTAGAATAAAAAGTTAATATAGTTTATACTAGTAGTAATTATAACAATAGTATATATAATAGTGTTTTATAAAAGATATACTAATAGAGAATATATCAATTACAACATTTTTTTTTCATATTATTTGATTTTTCTTATATAATTTAATTGGATTGATGAAATTAATTAATTTCTATATGATTATTAAAAAAAATTACTATAAATTAAATTATTATTTAAAAAAAATCTTTCATATTTTAAAAATGTATAAAAGTATAACAAAAATTATTTCTTTAATAAAATAACAACTAATTTTATATCCTAAAATTCTAAAGATTTTAAGTTTTATTTTTATTTTCATTTTTTAAATATCTTAATTCTTTATAAATTAGAAAAAAAGTTATTGATGAATTTTTTGCATATAAATGTTTTAAACAATACATCACACTAAAAAAGATAATAGATACAATATTGGATCATATAATAACTAAATGAAAAAATGTAAGTAATTTTTTAAAAAATTGCTTTGAGTTTGGGGAAAACAAATATTAGTATTAAAATTTGAAAAACTTTGACTCTGAAGTTGAATTTAATTATGTTTTAAAAGAAAAAATGTTTTCATTCACTAACAATGCCATGTGTTGCTAGAATACACTCAACTGCCATTATAAGATGATTAACGTATTTAGTTCGCAACATACTTTCCATCTTTCATTACACCCTCTCATACCGCATTTGCATTGGTCTGAAATGGATAGATTGTCAAGCTTGCGTGGCATACTCAACTGAACTTTACTAAATATTGTTGCAGCCAAATCATGAAACAACTGAAAAATCTGTTTAGCTTACGACGCATATTTTGCACTTTCGTAGTTTGAAACATTGCTGAATCGGTGTCAAGACATACTGTGCAACAAGTGGGTTGAATTAATCCAGTCGAAAGAAGCTCCTCAAACTTTTCATGTGTGATCCAATTGACTCAACTCGTCACAATCCTCTCTCCCCTCTCCAGAATAAGTGTGTTTCTCTAGCGGCCCATAGCTGTAGATAAAATTTCTAGCACATCACCCGCTCAACATTTCTGAAGACCATTTGGCCTGTCGAATGCTGTCATCTTCTAATCGTCAATACGCTCTGTAGTGATCTAGTTACTGAGGATGCTGCGCTAGAGCAATTCCAAGATATGATCTATTAAATTAGCAGGCTTAGCTTAAGATCATCTGCAGGGTTTTATTGGTAGACCGTATCATCCTAGATGTTCTCTGCGAAGCGTCTTCTCAGTCTTTGCTTGCGTTTATTTCACAAAGCTCTGTTTCAATTCTTCAGTCATCAGATATCAAGATATTAATTGTTGGTTATCTTCTCTTTAAACTGTAGATTTTCTTGCTGATCTAGCAATGATTTATTTTCACCACAGATTCCTAAAGCATTAAATGCATCCATGGATTCAATTGTCAATGTGATCGACATTAGTTGACAGGAGGGAGTGATCATTGATTAAAACCTTGATACAAAATGATTTG